GTGTCCTGCTGTAATGCTGTCTCACTTGTAGTTCGGTCTTTTGGTCCACAGAGGTTTAACGTTCTGAAGAAACAAACATTCAGAGTTAACGGAGATCAAACTGAACATCACAGTCACATGACCTGGTTATCAACTCGTCTGAGTCGAGGATCAAACTGTTGAATAATAAAAATCTGAATCAAAGAAACAGTTCCAGCTGCTGAACGCAGGAAGAACATCTGGAAAACCTCTGATTGTTTTTATAGTGAAACTGTTCTGTTGTTAACAAGAGTCAACTATATATATATATATATTTATATACACACACACACACAAAGGTTCATCCTCTGAGGAGAATCTAGATCTTTCAGAACATAAGATAAGAACATGATGTGTTCACACCGAACGCCTTAAACGCACCGCAGGATAATTTGTGTCTACTCTGGTTATTCGGGCGCAGCACGTTAACTTTCCCAGCCGAGAGTCTTCACCTGTTCTCTCTGGAAGAGAAGTTCTGGCTGAAGTGATCAAGTTGTTGTGGTGAACGTGTTGTTGAATCACCGGAGGAGCCCACAGCTCGGGGACAGTCACCGCTCCTCGGGAGCTTTGTCTGGATGTCTCCGACACTGAGGCGGAGCAGTGACCGGTGGGATCATCCCCGGGTCGGTGCCAGGACTCGCTCGGTTTCATTCTCAGAGTCGTTTGGAAACTGATGCCTGAATTCCAAAATTTCATCTCGAGCAACGGACGTGTTTTGGGCGTTGAGTGATTTGTTCGTCAAACACGGTGAAAATTTGCACCTAGATGCGTTTTTGCATTGACTTCACATGTGACTTAACGCACCACGTTCGGAGGGAACACACCATAAAAACGCTGATGTCATGTTTCAAAGGAACTGATTGGTCAGTGGGCGGGGCTTTTATACCTGCTCCAGGTAAAGTTGGAGATAAGAGATCAAACCTCTGTAATATATATATTTATCTATTTATTTATTTATATATAGTCACCTTCTTGATAAGTTCAGTCCAGCTCCAGGCGCTGATTTCTCCGTTTCCGGTGCTCAACAGGAAACAGTCGGTGGAGAGAAGAGAGAAGATCGGACCTTCGTGAGCTGAAGAGACGATACGAGTTCAAAGTCAAACCTGAAACAACCTTATTAATGAGTGAATTAGTCTGACAGAGGAAGTGGACGACTCACCTGTGAAGGTCAGAACGGCTTTCTTACTCAGTGCTGTGGCTTCTGGACTCAGAGCTGCAGACAGACTGAAACAACAACACAACTATTTAAGAGATCGGCACAACATCGCAACTTCAGCTACAGTTCAAGTTTCAGCCTCACCTGAAGAGGGCGATCTCCCCATAGTTGTTTCCAGCCGCGAGGAAGCGACCGCAGGGAGAGAAGCTCTGGGAGAAGACGGACATGTGGAGGAGCTGAAACAAAAACCTCTGCTGGTGAAACATATTATTACACCACATCAACGAAACAAAGGTTCAGTGTGTAGAACGTAGTGACCTCTAGTGGTGAAGTGTCATGCTGCAGCTGAATACCCCTCACCTCACCCCCCCTTCTACACAGGATGTAAATATAGAGGATGTAAATATAGAGGGCCCATTCTCAGGTAAAAAAACCACCGTTAAAACATCACTCAGATTATTTGAAAGTCACACTGAACCTTAATGTGAAAATAAACACACACTGCTTCATGTTAATCACAACGAGCACTGGAGTCGATCAGTCGATAAACTCTTCATCGTGGCTTTTATTTTTTATTTGGTTAAAAACTACGAGGTTGATCCGTCTCTTACAAACAGAGCAACTAATCGATTCACTGAAGATCAGTCACTGCTCGATCTTCAACTACTCCTGTCTAAAGTCTATCAGTGATTTTATCTGAACTACGATCAGAATCAGACTCTACTCAAACTAAAGACCATTCAGCTGTTTGTCTCTGTCGAGACTTTTAAATAACTTTAATTAAGACACATTGTCAAACAGGTCTCTGTCGAGAAGAAGAAACCGAAGAAGAAGAAACAGAAGAAGAAACAGAAGAAGAAGAAACAGAAGAAACAAAAGAAGAAGAAAC